TTTTCTATGACCTTACATTCTATTTCGGCCATATCAATCTCCTCTTAAAGATCTAACATTTTAGGCTGCATTTCCATCTCAAGTATCCTTTCCGAATTCTTCTTTTTTAGTAATGCCTTATCTAACCTCAATCTAGAAGTACCAAACTGAGCTGAGGACTTACTATTAACACTAATATCATCACGTTTATCATCATTAAAATCAGACATACCACAGACAGCTTTAGAATCTTTACTATCCATTTCGTCATTTTCCTTCGGCATTTTCTTTTTAGTTTCCATTGTATGGCTTTGTTCGAAAATCGGTAACCAAGCAAATGTGAAATAATCCAAACGTATTCGACCAATAAAACCAATTAAGAGGATTTGCATCATTTATTATTGACTACGGTGGATGTTATTCAGCATCTCTGATAAACAAGGTGAATCCATCGCAGATGTAAAGGCTCCGATCAGCGAAGCAATGGCTACATTCCAAGCAACTAAACAACATCCAGAACTCAAAACGACAACAAGCAACAAACACCAAAGTCAGAATTCCCAATACAAATTCGTCCGACATTTTATCTTTATTTCGAATTCAAGTTGAAATAAAATTTAGTACCGTTTACAATTATACAATAATCTTTCTTATTTCAGTTATAAATTGTGTGGAAATAGAGTAACTGAAATTACTTACACCTTATTATGGAAGTGAACAATGATTATGTAATTAAGACTTCCTGAATGTGATATTTAAATTACGTTTTCTCTATTATCTGACACGTTCGTAAAACATAAACATTTCTGTGGAAAGAATCATAGAACAAAATAAACGGAAACAATTAGGATTTACTCAAAAATCACTTTGAACGAATGCAGTTCTATTACTGTAGTATTAAAAGTACAAATACTTTGTTTTATTGCTTGAAATTTTGTTCACAAATTTATTCAGTATAACTGTCTTTAAAATCAAAATGTTTTTATTTTCATTCATTTAACTTCTGTACTTTATGAACATAACTTGAATTTCAATTAGATTGAACTATTGTTTCTTCACTTGATGAAAGTTTATCGTGAAAAATAGAACAACATATATAAGCGAACAATATTACTGTTTTCGATTAGATTGTCATCAGGCTTTACTCTAATATACATGATTATTTATCCGAAAATGTTCAACCAATTAAGGCAGTTTGATTCAATAATCAAAATGAGATGAAATTTGTTACGTCACTACACATAAAAGGCAAACGTTCAAGTTGATAGTAGGAAGAACTAAAATACGATAACAAAAGTTTTATCAATAGTAGGTCAAACATGGAAAAATAGACTTAAAATAATCATTACAAAACATTAAAACCATTATGTAATACATTTGAAGCTCCTCGCAGGATTCCAGCAGAAGTCATGAATGTGCACTGCTGATGAGTCCAATACCAGGATGAAACGGCCGTACAGTGCTTCCATGTTTCTAGTGGTGGTCTAACAATGATTGATTGATGATTTCAAATGTGTAAAAAAACGCAAACCTCCAAAACTGTGCCCCAAAATATCATCACGTAATAAACGGAAAGAAGCAAAGAATTACTAACAAATACAGGATGTGGAAATAATTCTAATAAATAATAATAAAATCTAAACCCAAAAGAAATTTAAACTCTTAAATCGTTTGTTACGTCATATACGGTCGTAGAAGAGATTGAGGTGTCACTAATTTCTTCTGAATACATAAATTAGGGTTGAATGTACGATGTGTAATAGACGGGATGGAAATCCGTTGGGAAATGATTGAGGTATACGATAGATCACCCGAAAAGATCTAGACTCATCTACAATATTACCACTGTCAACCAGGTGTGCTAATAGATCGAACTGCGTTTTATTTTTGACTGACGTTTCTTAAACCATTCTGGATGATGTTCACTCATTCGTTGGAAAAGTTGCCCGGTAGTACGCCTGATATAGCTATCTCCACACGAGCAGCTGAATTTGTGAATGCACATAGAGGAGGCCAACTCAGGTAACTTATCCTTCGTCTGGGTAGACGAAGGCTAGTCGACTTGAGAAGGCAACGCAAGCTTGGCTGCATTGAATTTTCTACTAAATGGTCTCATTATTCTGTCCTGCAGAATATCGCAGGCCACATCTCCATCAATACGTCGATCCCACATTCAACATTGCACACCAGGACATCAGCAAAGAAAAAACTACTTGAAGAGTTCAACAGTATTTTATTTCTTCCTACTATCAACTTGAACGTTTGCCTTTTATGTGTAGTGACGTAACAAATTTCATCTAATTGTGATTATTGAATCAAATTGCCTTAATTGGTTAAACATTTTCGGATAAATAATCATGTATATTAGAGTAAAGCCTGATGACAATCTAATCGAAAACAGTAATATTGTTCGCTTATATATGTTTTTCTACCTATCTTAGTACGATTATCTTAGGAAAATTATGAATAAATTCAACGTCATGTCACCTATATTTTGAAAAACATATTAGTTCACTCAACGTTTTTTGTATTCTATTAACTGAAAGTTCTCACTGTTTCCTTTATTCTGTTCCAGACAATTAATATTTCGTATTCATACTGAGTTCATTGAGATCTTTTTTACTCATACTACTGCTATGAAAATTAAGGAGGACAACGAGTTTCTCTGTTCAAACGATCTACAGGATTGTAACACTTGAAACGCTATCATAATTTAATTAACAAATAACAAAGTTTGGTAATGACAACTTAAATTATAGAAAACAATATCGTTTTTCTAGAATGAACACTCTACCTGAAAATGGTATGCGAATCGTTTTCCTTAAATGAAAATAATCTAAACCTCCATATAATGTTTGCCATTTGAATTCAAGACGACCGAAGTACATATTCATTCAAGACATAATTGCACAAGGTAGCCAAATGATTCGGCTTCTGCTACAATTAAACTTCTGTGGTAACGTTTTTGTTAAAGTTCCATTCAGTACGGTTTTTGAATTCAATCTACTGGGGAAACTTCAGTTCATATTCCGGAAACACGAATGATGACGATCTAATCGAAAATAATATTGTCCGTTTATGTGTGTTGTTCTTATTTTCACGATAAGAACGATTGGCTGAATTTCACTTATTATTATCTTAGCAATTTGATCTGGCTACACTGAATAAATCTATGCGAAGTATTTAAAACATCAGTGATAAGTTCATCAAAAATTGTTACATTCAATGTAACTAGAATGAAAAACTCTAATCGAATCAAATTTAGAGAATTCTTTTCCATACATTAATCATCGGTTATTAATTTACATTGGCATCATGTGAAACCTTTTAGTCAAAGTTATTATGATGTCGCATTCCTCCTGCTTGATTTATTCAAAATCGTCACTAAATTTTCATCGGTCAGTTGTTTGCTAGCCTTCAGTTTAAGCTAAATTCTATCAACCAGGTGGATGTTCGCATAATTACCTCTACCTCACAGTGTACTATGTTTTGATTATAGTAGATTATCGACAGTCTTCGAAACTTTCTGGTCATATGCTTCGTGTCAGTGAGTTCTCGTTAGCAAATAGTATTTTCTGCTGATTTGGAACTAATGATCTCCTCAATGATCATATCCGCTTTGTGATAATTGCCAGTAATTGTGAAAGCTAGACCCACTAAGCGTTATCGATAGTCTTCTATATAGAAATTGCTTGTCATCTCTGTTGTGTTTAACATTTTGCAAAGCAATTATTTATAAATTAACTAATAATAAAAATTCAAATATCAAGAAATATTCTGTTAGATAAACAATAAAATATTCATTTAAGTTGCATAAATTGATCAATAAAACAGAAATGAATGGATGAATTTAAAGACATCATGGGACGAGATGGACTGGGAGAAAGGAACGAAGACGGTAAGAGATTTGCAAACCTATGTGCCTTCAACAAACGGGTTATCGGTGGCACAATATTCCAGCAGAAACGCATTCACAAAGCCACTTGTATTTCACCGGACAACAATACTCAAAACCAAATTGACCATATCTGTATCATTGCTAGATCTTCTACATATTTTCGTTTGTCAGCTCTGATACGAAAGGCATCATCCAGAAGATACAAGTGTTTATTAACAGTTGTCTACGCAAAATACTTCGGATTCTTTTGGCCAGACACAATCAGCAACAGAGTACTGTGCGAGAGAACAATCCAGATTCTAGTTGAGGAGAAAATCAGGAAGAAACACTGGAAGTGGATAGAACACACACTACGACAAGCACCGATCAACTTCACGAGACAAGCCCTTACATAGAACCCTCAAGGCAAAAGGAAAAGAGAAAGGCCAGGGAACAAATTACGCCGAGAAGATATGAGAGGAATGAACAAACATTGGACATAGCTGGAGAGGGAAGGCCAGGACAGAGCTGGTTGGAGAAAAATGGTGGGCGGCCTATGCTCCACTTATACGTTATATGAATCTTATTCAATATGGGAACGATTCTTGAAATATTTCAAATAGTCAGTATCTTGAATAGAGGCTCTAATTATATTGATTTTTTCTGTGGTCTACTGGCTTCTTTAGGTTTGCTTCACTTCATTCACATTATAATCACTTATCAACTTGGTAAGTACATGAAGCATTCTATTTATATACACACAATCATTCACTGTTCTGATTTGCAACTCATAATCTAGCATTATAACTTTTCTATCACATCATCATGTTCATTTATTGTTCACATATCCTCACGCAATCTAATGAATTCGTTGATAAGAGGTTCTTACGCGGAACTATGTATTTAGAATTTAATGAATAGAGGTAGACTTATAACCTGATTGATAACAGTTCATACAGCATGTCACATAAAACATTTTTAGTTTAAAAATATATGTTCAACGTTAGCCACAGCATGAACAATTATAAAACGGGAAACTGAAGTAAATTTCAGATCGTGACATCACATTTCATAATCAGTTATTGTATGCAACTCTAAATTCTACATTCTCGTTGCATTTGTGCTTGAATTGTTCAATGACTTCTTATGATTTGAAGCATAAGCTAATCCAATACGCTTCAGACCAAAATCAAATACAGTATAGAATCTTTGCATGAAAACGTCACCAAGAATCCAATAATTGGGTTCTATGGAATCGTGATATTCAAATGGTAATGAACACAATGTTCCGAACCAGAAGTCAATCTGTAATTGAATAAATGAGATTGTAATATCAAAGTAACGTTGTTACAATTTGCAAATTTACTTCACATACATCTGCTTACTAGGAATAAGCGATTGTTTTCAATAATCGTGAAAATAAATATCAACATCAATGATATTCGAATCCATGCATCAGTTTTGCTGAAAGTTGTTTCCAAAACGGATGACATATTGGTTCGGCAGTGCATTCAAGATTTTCACTCTTCAATGTGACCTTGTAATCATCAGTAACACTACTTTCGAAATTTATGTCGAACCCTAGAAATCGAATCATTTGACGAACTGCCTATGTGTTTTGTCCATACTAAAGTCACTAAACACCTGTTATTTGTGCTTTTCAGTTAAAAAGTAAATCTATATATGTGAATTTAACTTAACGTAGTTATGAGAAATTCGATTGTTTTCTTACATGGAGTGTCATTATTTTCTCAATTCAGAAAATATCATATTTCTTGTAGACACCAGTACAACTATATAAACCCAGTATATTTAGACCATTTTATTAACAGTCTCACAATCCTGTTTGATTTGTTATATCATCTGAGTAAATAAAGTTTATTTCTTGTCATTACAATTTGTGTTCCTCACACCTTATTTAAAGTTGTTTGAAGCAAAATATACACACACTGAATTTTTACAAACATTTTGTTTGTGAACATTATATAACGAAATACTTGCACGTACTTTGTCAACATAGTGACGTGGCTCCAATACATACTCCATCTTATGAAAGATGAACTTAATGGAAGGAAGTAGATCAATGCGACTACAATCAACCAGATAATTTCCTGCAAAATGATAATAAGTACCAAGCATTGAGTTAATTTTCTCCACGTGCTCTTTTCCACCAACAATGCTTGACGTTCCTGTATCAATAGCAGCAGTACAATTTTTGCAAAATTCCTTGTCCTTTATTGTCATACTAATTAAACATGGAAAATATTTTAGCTGAATATAAAACTAAACAAATAAGCTACAAATAGGCTGAATACAACATGAAATATCACAGTAAAATTTATTCATAAATTAAACATACAAGTTGGCAGTGGTAACTAATGGTGGCCATATATCTTAAAGTTATAACTTCCGGTTGGTTGAATTTTATGTTGAAATGTAAACCGACATTTGTATTCAAGTCAGTCAAACAATTGAATTTTCATCAAACAAAACATTTACGCATGAAATTTCAAAATCTGATCAAGTAAATCTACCTGCGAAATATGTCATTGTTGTTAATGTCGGTGTTATGATTAGATAAACAACAGGAACACTTGAGTTGACAAACTTAGTGAATGATCAACGTGTACGTGAATACTTTAAACAATTGGATATCGAATAAATAATTCAGTAACAATAAATGTGTAATGTCAAAGCCGAACAAGGTTACTCTGTCAAAATTGTGTGTTATATGAATCAACACCTAATCTGAACGCTGTTCTGGGACCGCATATGAAACAGAAACAAAGACTAGAAAAAGTGAAGAAATTCAATCACAACTTCCAAATGGACTGTTTTCTGTTGTTTGTGTATATATCTGCATACTCTACAATAAACCATTATGAAACATTGCATTTATGTATTTCATTGCTAGTTTATAAGGATATAATCGATAGGTTAACTCACCTTTAAACACTTTGCATTATTAAGTATTCAAATGTGTACATTTAAAATTAAGATACAACACTTAGTGAATTTCAAAATCAAATATTCTACACATATTAGATATGCATCAAACGCTATAAATGACATGAACTTTCTATCTTTTCCTTAATTAGTTAAGTAGTATGATATACAACTTCAATCAATCAAACATACTTCCCAATAAGTTCATTTCTACATTTTGGAAACAACTGAAATTTACATATCATATTCAACTGATTGTAACAACTTACCTTGACATTCTAATTATCCACTTACTATTGTGAACAGTGGGCATAAATTCGAGATCACCGTCAAAATACTCTGGATTGACACCGCCAAGTACCATTTCACCACCATATGAAGAGTCATCTTCCCTGAAAACAAGACACGAATTTCTTCTCTTAATGTTAACACCTTTCACTCTATTCAACAAATCATGATGTAAAATAAAATCAACTGAATTGCTGCAGTCTTACCTTAAGAGAAGATCAAACAAAGTGTATAGTCACATGGTTATGTTAACGTCATGTTCAATTTGTGAACCACGTACATATTTTATGCCAACATATATGTATATGCTACAAGGAGCACACTTCATCGTGTTTCGTAAGTTTTAAGTGTCACATTTTGTTTGCAAATGCTCGTCTTAATTCACAGATCACGTTGTAGAATACGTTCAATGATTATATATCACTACCAACCAATCAAAACGTAGTGTGGTTTGATGATTGGTATGAACTCCATAGCTTTATATGAGTTGTAACATGACAATACTAATAATATGCATTTTATCTTTAATGTAACAATTAAAGAGTAACATTAGCTGTGTGGAATGGTAGATCAAGTAACAGTCGATGGATTATATGGATATGGAGTTACAGTGTTCAGAAAATAATGTTTTAGAAAGAATAATAAAGCTATATTTCAACACCTTCCCTAGATCGCACCAAAACACTAACACCATGGCCAATAAGTTTCAAAACATTCACTAACATGTTAAAGCTGAGGAACTAAAACATGTGGATGCAAAATACAGTTACGATGATTGATCACCTTTAGAAATACAAATGAAAAATTATTATTATTGAATAATATCATTCGGACAAAACTAGCGAATGTTTCATAGTTGTTTTCATCAACGTTGATTAGTAAATTGAATATTTGCTCTCGTTTTCTCTCCCAACATACTTGGTCAATGTGAAATGTATCAGTGACAACCAAATTTATAGTAAGAAATATCAGATTCTACAGGATGATCCTTCAGATGATTGAACACCAGTTTATGTGATAATACAAACTAATGTCAGGCAAAAATGTCACATGCTCACCGATTTAAATAAAACGAAAATACTGGATCCATATTCACACAATTCGCCAGCATATTTGGAAACATTGGAATATTTCCGTAACGTGATATTCGGGTGCTCGACATACCAACTACTCCATCATATTTACTAGTGAAGTAGTTGAAGTTAAATATGTTTGTCATTTCGGCAAACGCTTGTCTTGGAATAACTAACGAATTTATCTGAAAGTTCACTTAATTATGAAATATTCTGAAACGTTACCCGTATGGTATCGACACTCCAAAATCCAGAGTAATTACTATCAATATATGAAACATGATATTTGGAACCATCTGCTTCATAAGTAGAAGATTTTGAACTGTCGTAGAAAGAGAACATCCAACAAAATACATCGAGAAACCAACACTTTCTTGAGGCTAGCCATGTGTCTGTTGATCCTGTGTCGAACAGTACACGGAGCTTTTGAGGTGGAGTTCCCACAGATATCTCACCATAATATTGAAGCTTAAAAGAAATATCATTTATATCAAAATGTCAGACAGTGTGAAACAGAGTAAATGCAAATTAATCTATTGTTCATGTGTAACTAAGTAGAAACGAAATGACGTTCAAGGCCACTATGTGTATTTCCATTCGTATTCGTGATTACAGTGCCAACATTCCTCACGCCTTCGTGACAGCTTCCCAGCTGACAAACGGTGAATGAGGTTTGTTCTATCACATTGGCATTGCCAGTGAGACATCGTAAATGCAACATTCAAATTTTCAAATGCTACATCTCTTTGTCACAGTTGTAACCTTTCTGAAGGAAATGGATCCGGTTGATTTCATCTGTATAATGTTGACTTCACGACCAAATAAAAATTCATCTGACAGCTTTTATGATGTATGTGAGTCAAAACCAAGTGAACCCAATACTTTCACAATACTTACATTATCATAATTAATTAGTCGTTCTGACGTAGTGGTTGTCCACTTAATCCCTTCATTCATCCATTTTCTCGTCGATGGCACAAAGTAATTCGAATGAATCCCAGTCCAAATACTACTTCTTTTCACCGGGTATAGAGACACCTTAAAAATTTCACCAAGTGAAAATGGCAGTGAAATGAGAATGATCAGTCGAATCATTGAGGTATACTGAAACAAAACAGATGAGCACTAACACATGTGTAATTTCTAATTTGATTCATATTTTATTGACGCAGACACATCTAATGAACACGAAGATTGATGAGCAAACAAACCAGTTTATTGGCTGCAAACCAGACCTTCCTACATAAGTGCAAATATTATTGCAAACACAATTTGCTACAAGTACTTCTAAAATTTCATTATGATCTGGTTTATTTTGAGTGACAGTTTTTTAAGATCGGAATATTAATTTTAATTTTAGTAATTTATCGGATGCAAGATTACGACGTGTAAACATGAATATAGGCGCACTGGAAGGAAACAATGTGATAACCATCAAACTTCAGCCACAATAATGTATACGATTACTTCGCTGTTGGATTTTCTCTCATCATCACGATGTTGGGTTCAAGTGAGTTGTGCTTGATCGCACTATCTTCAGAAGAGGCAGACAATTGGGCAATCATCAACGGATGAATTGAAAAACGTCCATGATCGAAGTGTCCTACGAACTTGCAATAATTGTTAAGCATTGCATTAGTTATCTAAACCGTATAACTCTTAAACTGAAATGTTGTAATGTTAAAATTGGTGAATGCTTTGAAATTTGACTTTGCATTATCCGTTTCTGATTCCATACATGATGGTGACTGTTATCAAATTAACTTTCCGCAAAAATACATTGTTAATTATCTAAATAATAATCTCATCAAAAATCAAGCTATCGCTAATCTAGATATTTTTAATTTTTACAAATATTTACTTTGACTGATTCACATTCCATCGTTCAGTTGACTAGTTAATAATTCGGCATTACATGCTTGAGCAGTTCTGGCATCATTATGTAACACAATTGTTCGATTCGCAACATGCAACTTTCGTAAATGTTTATATAGGAATATATATACTGTTGTAGAGTATGGTTAAGAAAGTGACTGAAAATTATTATTTCTCATTATTAGTCTTTCGTTAAATAAAAAGAATAATTAACTGTTAAAAATAATTTGACTCACTCAGGAATGTGTGAAAGTTCAAAAGGAAAGACAGTTCAAAGGATAAATATGATCAACCGATGTGAATGCCTTTTTGTTGTTAATTTTTGTTTCACATTCTTAACTACTTCATATGAAGTAAACAATATACTGTTAGAAATGTTTCAAAGAAAATTGTGATATATAGATTCCATCCTCAATGTTCATTATTGTCTAATTTAAAACATAACTGTCTATTCTGTTTAATAATTAGTAAGATTATGTTTGTAAAAATATGCCATGAAAACGTGTGATTCAAAACAATTATTCGCACAAACATGTGTGAAGAAGGCGCAAATGCGTAAAAATTTGACACTAATTAGGACTCAGAGAAAAAAGAATGATCAAGCTAACCAAGTCTGATCTAATTCTTAACTTCAGTAGCAACATGCCATGAACTTAAGGAATCAACTCATTCACACTTTATTTAAGTGAGCGAAATCATACTGAAAAGGTCAACACGAGTAATCTTGATCGCTGTCGGAAGGATAGGACGCCTGTTGGTCCACTGAAATGCACTCTTTCTATCCTCACTTCTTCTTTGCAGTAGTTATATCTTTGTGTTTCTTCAAGAGACTCACTCTTAAAGCAATGTGCTGATTTATAGTGCAGTCAGAATCAGTACTAACTGCAGTAATGGCGATATTTTAAGGAAGAGTGAATGTAGTGTGCAGTTATATATACGTGAAAAATTAAGATGATATCTGGTAAAAATATGGACATTACGGCAAGGCTCATCATTAAATCAAGTGGATGAAAATATGTTAAGAAATTTCAGTCGAGATTATGGTGGAAATTAAGTAAGAACAGTGCTGCCTAGAAGTGAGGTGCATGAATATTAGTTGCATATTGAGTTGCTGCCACTGATTTTGCGAATCCACATTTTTGCTCGGTAGTAGCCCCGAACGGTCCACAGGTGGAACTAAAATCACAGGCACACGATGCAAAACGATATGCGGTTGTCGAAGTGCAAGCGAGAGAACAAGTCGCTGAGTAAATGCATAGAATTGAAATGTGATTGTTTATACGAAGGAAAATGAATGAGTCGCCGAATTATTTTGGATGCTAATGTTACAGATATCAGAATGAGTATGCATGTAGGTGGTAAGCAATACTCAATCACAACTGCTAATACATCTGGACAATGATAGAAATACGGATAATGTGTTGCTTTACAATCAGCAGTCTATAAAATTAATCGAAATAATTCAAAAGTTTCTTACCAAATTAAATGTGAACAAATATTATTGCATATGAGGTACTGAAAAGTGTAGATTTTATTCCCTTTCATTTTTTTCGAGGCTTTCGCTTCCTGTGCATGCATTTTTGTGATCAGTGTGATGCGATTTTAAACGGGGAGGATTCTTTTGTGAAAATAAGTATATCTTGGGTGATTCAGTGATATTCGTATCGATAACAAGTAATGGTAGGGTGTTAAGTAATATAAAAAAGTAATAAATGGGATCGATCTTCTCAAAGATGCTGAGAAGAGTCACATTTAGCCCCACATTACTGCTGAAAAGTAAGTACAAATGCCCAGCTGATGGAGTACGAAAATAAACTGCATTCTGGTGACAATGTAGGTGTTCGATTCGCGGATGACAGTGGCACTTCTAACAACCACTTACGTTCGCATTTTAGTTTTTTAAATGGTTATGATTGATGATATGTGTCCTTTTTCGTGAGAATACCAAGTTTAATCCTAATAGAACAAGCAGTCAGGGAGAAGATTGTTCTGGATGAAGAAGTGTATTTGTCCGAGGCCTCGTGATATCGAAATTATATCAAGACCGGAATAAAGAAGTGGCTAACAACCACCGAGGAGTAAAGCGGAATGGGAATGACACGCTTGGCGAGCGAGTTGTAGTCTTTAGTAAAGATAAACAGAAGAAGTACAATAAA